CCTCGAGCTCGACCACCACCTTCGGGAACTTTTGATATATGTCTACCCAAGTGTAAAGAAAGCGTTTAAAAAAATTCCAACTCTCTAGAATTATTTTCCACCGATTTGTCTAATTTGACTGGGCTACTAATTGTTTTTTTATTTTCAGTTGTCCGGAACTCGGGGCCTGCATTAGCTCTGATTTATGGTGCGACGGTTTGCGCCACTGTCCCTCAGGCAACGACGAACAAGAATCTAACTGTTCGATCCACGCCGGTTTTCCTATATCATATCTGAACTCTGTGGCCCTTTGTGCTCTAGTTCTAGTAGTAACAACTACTGTAATAATTCTAAGTTTCTATTTCTTCAAGTATTGGAGACGCGAACAAAAAAACGTTATTGTATCAGTAACTGAACACACCTTCCTAGAATTTAAGAGTGGTTTGTGTTAAGAAGAGTTAAAACTTCAAATGACTGACAATATATCTGTTGTAATAAATGTATAAAGTTTTTATGGTGAATAAAATCAACAAACTTCAGCAAACATCTCTTCACCTACAATCCCTCGAAGAATATTATGAGCGGTTATCTCGGCCATCCCTTTCCTCGTAGACTCGGTAGCACTCCCCAAATGGGGCAACAAAACTAAAAATACAATCAGAAACTCGACAAGGTTACCAACTTACCAACATTGGGTAATTTGACAAGTTCATGGTCCGGTGGTAGAGGCTCTGGGGTCATAACATCAAGACCAGCAGCGAAAATTTTTCCAGATTTGAGAGCCCGGATCAGAGCATCCTGATCCACGACTTCTCCACGACTCACATTAACAAAAACAGCGGTTTTTTTCATTTTATCAAAAATCGAATCGTTGAACATCGATTTCGTCTCAGAAGTCAAAGGACACGAAACGATAACAAAATCGCTGTCTTTTACCAAAGTTTCAAGAGAAACAAATTCACACCCTAGTTCCTTCCCTTCCGGTTTCTCCCGATGGCCGGTATACAAAAACTTCCTGACGGAAAAACCCTTCATTCTTTTTACTATAGCTTGCCCTATCCCCCCAAGTCCCACAATCCCAACAACAGAACTCGTGACGTCTTGACCCAACAACCAGGACAATCCGGGGGTCCACTCGTTCCTAGAAACGGATTATAAGTTACAAAGTATGATAACCAGCAATGATAATATACTTTTCTATTTTCAAGCGCCCCTCGTGGAGTCTTCTCGCCGCCCCCAGAGCCAAAAGAATAGCAACATCGGCAACGGCATCGTCGAGAATCTGTGGAGTATTCCCCAATCTAATTCCTCGTCTTTTTAATTCAGGAACGTCAATATTGTTGACTCCTGCCGACATGGTCCCTACTGTCTTCATCTGAGGGCCTAAACAAAAAATTATCAAGGCCAAAAACCCTCTTCTTGTTATTACCAGCCTTGTCTAGGATTTCTACATCAAGATTTGTCTTAGTCGCCCAAAGGATCGCATCAACACCTGCTACTTTTTCAAGAATTGACTCTCTTTTGTCATCCTTGGTGTGGATTAATTCGCAACTGAAATAAATAAAAATAATTGGAGAATAGAAAAGGTTGAAAGTATTATATTTTTGTAAAACTTACCCTCGCCCTAATAAGTCAAGTGCGATTTGGGGGACGGTGGGATTCGTTATTAGGATTTTTGGAGGTACGAAAGTTGGATCCATCGTGTGTGTTGCAAGCGAGACGACTAGAAGTTAGGTTTGTCTGGAACAAATTTAAGTCTATTGTTATCTTATCAGAAAATCCGGACAGTGGTTTATTTGTTGTGATTCTAGTAACCAAGATAATCAATTAAACCGCGAAATTACATGAAACCACGACAGAAAAACAGTGATAAAACAGTCTTAATACAGATCTAAATTTGTACACAAATTAAACTAGAAAAACTTACTTCAAGGTTAAAAAAAATAGAATATTATTTATTGCAACTCAGTGATAATAAGTTGGACTAGTGGCGCCATCTCCTCTTACCAGTGTAGACAAACTTTAAGAAAAGCAGGGCATCCTTTAAAAAGATTAGGCTAATATTGATCAGTGTTTTATTGGTCGGCAAATTTCCATACTACTAGTGGGCCACAAAATCGTTATCTGTATTACGCAATCAACTTTTTATCTATTTATTTTCTCATACAATGTTTACTGAGAAATCACATAAACCTCTAATAAAATTGATCATAAACAACCGTGTACCACTGATTCACTTAAATATTGCCTTGAACTTATCTCAAAATTCTTAAAATAGAATTTTAAACCAAAAATCGGTGTTCGCGTGATATTTATTTCTCGTGTTTACACTAATTTCGTATTTGGCTAACTGTAAATCGTCCCGTTTATATAATTTTTTTGTATATTTTTGCAAATCCAGACATTAAAATTGTTTTAACAAGTTGTTCGAGGCATCGAGGCTAATGTTATTTTCGTAAAATATTAACACTTTTATGTTACAACAACCAAAAAGTAAAAAAGCGTGCCGGAAATTTATTGTACAAATTAAATTAAGACACGACACGACAAGTTTAAAAAGATGCTTGAAATGCAAATAGCGAACTATTATCATTTTACAAGTTTTATCTCTTAATCAGGATGTAATTGAATCCTTTTATCTCCTAGTCTCATGTTTTGTTTCCGCTGAGTTAAAAGAGTGCGATTCAATCATTTAACCAAGATAAATTATTTTTATACATTGTCTCTAAACATGCTTATCAGATAAGTAAGAATAACTCAAATGAAAATGAATATAGGCAACCAAATATACATAAACCATTGTTGCATGGCTATTTTTTATTCTCTTGCTTTTTAATCTCTAATCTATCGTTTTTGCTCAACTATTGTTCAGTTTTTATTCAAAATTTTCAGAGAAATTAATTAAATAAAACGAACCACAAATTGTTTACAAAACCTCTCATGTATTGTTTAAATAAAGACAAAAAAATAATGACAAACTTAAAATAACGTAGTTACTAAAAAAAACTATAACACTCAAAAAAATAAAAGTTTAAATTTTGGACTTTGCCTTTATTTATTTCTGTTCAATAAATTATTTTCCAAGTTTTTTTGCTACAGATTCTTAGAAGAGGAAACAAGGTATAACTCTGTTTAATGTTATTTGTGGCAGTTATAGGCAAAATTTTTGTACCTTTACTAAATAATTATAAAAAACATATACAAGATCATCAGTATCATTAGAGAGACATAAAAAAAAATGTCTAATGTCAAAATTTTTTGACAGATAGAATTTTTTAAATATTTTTTCCATGTTCATGGTACCTATCTTCGTGAAATTTTTCTCTGATGCATGAGTTCTGACAAACCCTGTATTTATAGAAAATTATTGCAAAAGTATATTTAAGAGATGTTTTATTAATGTTTGTTAACAAATTTCAATTTCAAATCTCTCTGAAATTGTTTACCTCTTAATAAACATTTATTTTTTGAGAAAACTCATTTCACAAGAAAAACCTGCAATAACGATACTTACAACTTTTTCCAGGAAGCGCTTTTATCATAAAAATACTCTAAAATTAAAGATAAAGTATGAGTCTATATCATCTAAAATATAATAAGTATTGTAGAAAATACAAACTAATTATTTTTTCTATAAAAAAACTAAACCAACCAATATTATTTAATTTGCATTAGAATGAAAGCTGTGAAACTTTTTCAATTATTTTGTAAGTGTGAATACAGGTGCGCCAGAACTCGCGCCCCAGAGAAAAATGCCATGTAGGGTAAGATACCAGGAACATGGAAAAAATGTTAAAAAAAATTCGAAGTTATGAGAATTTAAATTTTGCACTTTGACTCTATTTATTTCTGTTGGAAAAACAATTTTCCAAATTTTTTTGCTACAGGCTATCAGAAGAGGAAACAAGAAAGTTGTATCCCAAATTGTATCTCTATTTAAAGTTATTTGTGGGTTTTATTAACAAAATTTTTATACCTTTACTAAATAATTATAACAAAACATATACAAGATCGTCAGTACCACTAAATAGGCAAAAAAAATGTCAGATGTCAAAAAAATAAGTGACAAAATTTTTTGAACATTTTTTTCATGTTCCTGGTATCTTATATTACTTGAAATTTTTCTCTAGGGCGCGAGTTCTGGCGCACCTGTATACTCTTAGGTCAAAACAATAAAAAAAAATTCTTTACAATATCTTGCGCCAAAAAGTAAAAAATAAGAATAAAAGTAGAACTAACGTTGTAAAAAATGCCAGAACCTGACTTATACAACTTTTTTTTAATAAAAATCTCAAATTACTAAGAAACTTAAATGTTATTTTGATGAGAAAATATACATAAAAATGAATTGAAAAATTCAATGTTCAGTGCTCGATTCAGTGCATGTGAAATAACTATGAATGTCCTCCACGCTTTTTAAACCAATTTTTTAATTGCAATTTTATGAATAAGAGTGAAATAAAAATTATAATAAGCGAGATAAACCCTCGTTAATCGCCTCGAAACTGCAATCGATTCCGTTGATGGCACGTAAAATTCCCGAAATCCTCCATTACGTCCAAAAACGGTCGTTAGGCCCCTATGTGAACCTATAATTAGGCATTTGCCGGCTGAGACATCCACAGGTGGTGGTGCCCCAACCCGCTCGAAATTTCTGCATATTGAAACCCGGTCATGTTGCCAAATTAGCATTTGTCACACGTGTTATTAGCTAAACAAGTAATAATCAACCGAAAGGCTAAACAAAAAGCCGGTGCAAACGACCTTGAGCTAACAGTACCACCATATCGCATAATAATCAAATTCCATCTCACATCCGCTTCAGATCTCGTCTAGTAACACGACTCCGGTAATTACCCGGCCGCGTGCATTGTTGCCATTGATTTTCCAATTTCCCGATTAGATAAATTTTCCAGGTGAGCATACACCGATCGACTTATGGAAGGAAGCAGATGGTCGCGACAGCTTTGGCAGATGTACGGCACCTGTCCGGGGCTAACAGTCCACCTGTACCGGTAAACAGGCGTGCAAACACAACCTGCCTAAACTACCCATCGCTACTATCATCATTACGTTATTATCTCGATGGGATTCACCTGTGTCGCAGCCGGTCCTAATTGAAACAATGCCTTTTACGATAATGGAAACGCATATGCGAGCCACACATGACTTTTTTCAACACGCATTTTTATGCAAATAGAGCATCAAAGTGTCCCACATGAGTTTCTAACTCAATTGCAATAAAATGTAAAAAATTCACTTTTGCTTTAATTGAAATCTTCTCGCTATTTTCGCATAAAACACCCAATTTTAGTGCGCAAAGTTTTGACATTAACTGCTTGTAATTACTACTTATTTGGTCATGTTTGAATTCAAAAGTCGATTCGAGATGAGTAAATAAAATTATTCGCTTGGGTGCTAATTGCACCAACACGTGTTCAAGCTGTGACAAATCCGGTAACGAGAAAGTACTGTCACAGTTTTGTGAGCAATCGGCAGTAATTAATGTTTTTAACCTTCATATGGCATTTCAAATCATCCTTGTGTGAGAAAATCACGAATCAAAAATTTTTTAAGAATAATTTTATTTACATTATATAGGGGCTCCTAAGTACTTCTATTTTACGTTTATAGCGTCTATTATTTTTGTTTACTTGTTATTTATTTATATGTAAATACTTGGTATAGCTAAAATAAGCTTATTAATATTGTTAAACACCAAAGGTCGCCAAATAAAACTTAAAAAAATGTCAACACTCACGACAAGGATAAATTTTGGTAAAGTAAAAAACTGTTTACAAATTAAAACGGTTATGTAATATGTAATTAAAAAAGTTCGAGTAATTAAAATGCGAGATATGCAATATACTGTTTTGCATACATTAACGCAAACACGAAATGATGCTCTGTTGAAATTGTAGTTCGAACTATTGTTCTAATATCATTAGTACTAGTAGAACAATAAGAGTTATCATTTTTCTAACCCCTAATGCTTTAATAATTGTTACGCCACTGGAATATACTTACCACAGTACAATAACAAAATAAATAAAAACAAATTAAACCCAGGAATAAAAATTTGTTTCTGTCAGGTTGATATACGATTAATTTGTAGTTGCAAATTTTCACATAGTGCCAACAGTTTTTGGCGTCTGGCTAAAAAGAAATTTTAAATGAATAATAATAATAATAATAATAATAATAATAATAATAAAGCATTCTTATGGTTTTGTCATTTTTTTGAGAAAATTAACAGCAAATTAATTCTGTAGTACCAAACATACTTATAGACACAACTGTCAAACAATAAATTTTAGAAATAACTCGATATTAATTAATCTAAAAAAAAACATTAATTAACAAAAATAATCATTAATTTGCCTAATTCAAAAAACAAACTATATTGAAATCGTTAATCTTTGTGCAATATTAAAATACAGTATACAATAACTTTTTTTCATCGTTCTGTAAGTAACTTTCCCCTAAGAGTACTTTATTAAAAATAATTTATGCTGTTAATTGTTTTGACTAAAATTTATTAAATACTAACGTGGTAAAAATAAATCCCAACTCCGGTTTTACGATTGCAATTTGTCTTGAAGAGGATTGGTAAAACTGGTAAATCACTGGGTAACCGTTGCCAACTCTTCTCTCGAAATATGTCTTGCTCCAAATGTCAAAATTATTTCCCGAAAACCAGTCCTCTTGAAAATAATCTGTCACTAGTATAACAGGTGTCACTTCCACTTTGTTTCAAACCCTCTTCATTTATCTAATTAAAAGACTTGGCATTTTGCGTCCGAAATTACCGTTCGTTCCAATTTTTTCACTCTATTTTCTGTTATAAATATTCGCGTTTGGCAATTAATTAACATTGTGTCTTGAAGAGGTACACTTTTAACATAAGAGTTTTAACTATTTGTAAGGTACCTAATACGAAAGGCTATTGAAATTTGACAAATTTACAGCGTACTATTTGTTTCCCCTGTGACTTTAATCCAATAACAAAAAATTGGGTTTTTACTTTTACTTTTTATTCATTAAGTCCTCAAAGTTTTGGTTTCAAACTTTTTCAAATAAAACATTAACATTAGGAAAATAACTTTAAAAAAACAAGATGTTTCATGAGTTATTACTCATTATTATGAGCCTAAATTTTTTTTGAAGCAACATTACATTTCAAAGATAACAT